AACATTAGAGCCACCTATCTAATGCGGTGATTGCCTCCTTCATTTTCCTTAAACAGACGTCTAATTTTGAAATTGTTTAACCCACAGATCCTCTAAGTCCTATATGCTTCATACTGTAGGTTTGCCTTGTCAGACATTGCTTAAACCTTATTAAAAACATGTGTATTGTTGAGCAGTACAGTATAGCTGTTGCATCAATGCCTAAAAACCAAACTTCTCTCAAATTAGAAGCATTGACTTTAATGTGATTTAGTATTAATTTATGCAAAACCAAGATAAAATTGTGCTGTAAAGTTAATATAAACTGACAAAAGTATTTTTGAAATTTCTACAAATGCAGATCTAGAAGAGAGGCCAATTTTATTTAGCCTCCTTTACTCCTTCATATTAGTGGAAATTTGTGTCCTCAGATTTCAGAAAAGTAAATTCTCGATCTCTGTGGGATGTAACAATAGCATGTTTTACCTAAAAATATATGTAAATTATTAAGTTGCTCTACAAAAAAAATAATAAAGTACAATAAAAAAAAAAATCTAGACTGCCAAAAAGACTGGTTACATTTTCTGGACTCAAAAAAAAAAAAAAAAAACCTTCTCTGCGGAGGCGTCAGATGTTCGTTTGTGAATATGGAACACCAAAGAGGATCATGGAGATCAAGGAATGCAGCAGACAGGTCAGGTATAAAATTATAGCCATGCTAAAAGGGTTAGGTTATGAAACAAAATCCCAAGCCTAAAATCTAAAGCAGAACTGTTGAACAACCTTTTCCTTTAAATAGTAGGATTATGGCACAACTGATACCCTACAAAGACATAAACCAGCCGGAAGGCATGAAGAGGAATAATCTTAGAAGCAGCAAAGATCCCCAAAGTGTACAGTATATGTCTGCAGGAGTAGCTCAGATCCACAGCTAATCCATTGATAGGACGACTAACATGCATGCACTGTACAAATCTGTTCTTAAGAAAATAGTGGCTAGAGAAAGAGTCAAAGGAAATCTTTAGAGTTTGCTGTAAACTGTGTAGGAGACTCAGTAAAAATGTGGAAGAAAATGCCCTGGTTAGAGGAGAGAAAAAAATGTGTATATTAACCTACATGGAATCCATTGTGTGGTAAAAGACTATAACAAAAAACAGCATACCCACCTTAAACGATAGTAGTGGAGGTATTATGGTTTGGGGACGCTGGGGTTAGAGTAGCTGATGATGGAGCTTAATATTGGGAAATCATGAAAGAAAACCTGTTGGAAGCTGCAGTAAACTTTAGACTCGGTCAAAGGCCGGGTCTAAAGAGCTTCAGCAGGGAAACAAGCCCAAGCCAACAGAGTTACAATAAAATGGCTTCCAACCTGGTCCGCAGGGACCCCAGCACTGCATGTTTTAGATATGTCTCTGTTCCAGCACACCTGAGTCAAATAAGGTCTCTTCCTCTGCAATCAAGTGCTGCAGAAGTCTGTTAATCAGCCGATCTTCTGCTGTGATGCATCAAGGAAACACATTGCAGGATAGGGGTTACTGAGGAACAGGGTCAAATCCTTAAAAAACATACTTGTGGTTTAGAATGGTCAAGACAAACCTAAATCCAACCTTTTTTTTTCTTTTTGCCAAGACTAGATGTTAGGAGATGATTTCCGTCTAAAACAGACAAAAAGGCAATGATCTGATTCAAAGCTTGGAGAGCTATACCTCAAAACATTTGTGCCTGTAATTGTAGAAAAGTTTTTGAACAAACTGGACTCAGGAAGGTTGAGTAAAAATGCAGATATTTATTTTTAGTTAGAGACTTAGAGGTACTTTTGCAATGTAATGTCAGGGCATGTAACATTCCAATGAATGTCAAGGTAGAAAGCCTCTCTGCTGGAAATTGTTCAGACATTACTTCTTCCACTGGCTTGCCTTCTTCCTACGTTGCATTAAGCTCTTGTTTCTTTTTCAGATAAACACAAGAACAGCCTTCCACATGATGTAAAACAAAACATGACTCATATGATCAGATCACCTCCTTCTGCTGTTCCCTGATGCATTTGAGCTTTGTTTTTGCTCTTGAGGCTTCAGTCCTTGAGCTTAATACATTTCTATGTTTCTATTTTCAATCTAAAGAAAAAAGGTTGCTAATTTATGCTTCAAAGAGCTTTGATGAAGTAGAAACTAATATATACTGTAGTCCAAGTGATTATGGGCTGTATGGTTAAAGTAATGCAGCAAATTATACCAATCTGCTGAAATATTGGTATTAATCTATTTTTTTTAATCAGTTGGTGCTAATACTGTAAAATGTTGTAAATAAACAAGAGATGGAATTTGTGCAGTCCAATAAAATGTATAGTTTCTATTAAAGTGTGCTGAAAATGCTGTTTACTGACATAATTAAAAGCACTGAACTGAAGTGAAAGTGCTTTGAATTCTCCCTTCTCACAGTCCCTGAGTAAATGTACTTTTTCACCACTGCTGTCTCTTTGTGGCTCCGCGTCTCTTTCTGCAGACACTTTCCAATCTCTTCTCTCTATATTCAATTTTGTTCTTTTATTCCCTCATCGGCGCGAGCCCATTCCCTCTGCTCCGTTTTTTTTCTTCCTCCCTGCCTACTTTTTTCACGGCTTTCCATCTCCTTCCACCTTTCACCTGTTCTTTTTCTCTCCTGAGAGTAAAGATACTCTAATCCTCTCTGACTAATGCTGTCAATAGCTCTCAATAACAATGAAATAGCACCGATTCCATCCTGTCGCTGATGAAGCCATAGCCTTAGTTTGGATCTTATTCGTCTTCACGACAATCTGCCTCCTGGTAATAGCCAATCAGATGGCTGCTGCGAAATGCAGTGCTCCCATGATAGGCTCCCCATTGTTTTGATTGACTGCACCTGAGGGCCCACCACTTCAGCTGGGGTTCGATCAATAACCCATCTTACACACACACACACTGGGTAGCAGGATCATGCATGCCCAGCAATAAACACACAGGTATGAGCACACCATAGGTACAACACACACACTTTGGGGGAGAGCAAATTGAGAAGAAACCTCTGGTATGGGAAGCAAACTGAATACTTCAGCAAGAGCCTTTAAAGTGTGTGACGGCACTGATCTTATTGAGTGGTTGGAATAAACAGCTGCTGCATAACCATAATAAATAAACATACAAATGAGATGACAGCTTTGTGTATGTGACTGCAAGGTTTTATCTGCCTTTATTGGCAACTTTACGGTAACATGTTGAGCTAAACAAGAATGATGTATGGAAGACAATAAAGGCAGAAATGACTCCCACTGTGAGCCTGTTATCCTGTATTGTGTCACAGATACAGATGGCTTCACATAAGCCTAGCCTCTCTGAGCTCTGAGCCATGGAAACCATCATAAGAGCAGCACGGCCATCTGCACATGCATGCTATTAGTACTACAAACATGCTCACATTTTGGTCATTCTATAGCAGATAAGTTCGCCTATGGAGAAAGCAAAAAAAGTCACACAATATATTCTTGATAGGCTTTATAAGATTTGGAAAGGTGAACAGATGAAACTTAGTAATATGATGTTATAAATGTCATGTTATCTCCTTCAGAGTTTTACAATCTCTTAAAATTTTCAAATAAAGGTAGATTCTATCAAAGATTTAACCTTTTTCTGTAACTATAACCACAAATCTGCACATGCAGAAAATCTGTCCAGTCTTTGCAGATTGATAGATAGAATTATATAAAAAAAAGTAAAAATAGGTTTTAAACATTACAGTTTCACCCTAATTTATTTTGGAATATATTTACTTGCATTTTAGATTTATTTCTAAAGAGTGACATGTTTGACTTCTTTTCTTTGCAGAATCACTTAAGCTCTGTCAGAATAAATGGAAAAAGTTTTGTAAAATAATCTTATCTGGATTTCTGTCTTGACTTTTTACCAGCATGTTGTGTAGCATACATACAGTACTGCAGCTTTTTATGTATGTTAAAGTATACATTTATGTATTATTTTACAAGTGTACTTTCTTCTTCCTAAATTTCTCTGTGTTCCCTGTGTGGCTTTTAATAAACATAAGCTGGAAAGAGATAAAGAGATGGTTTCAAAGTGAAAGTAGTTATCAAGCCTAAGAGTGGAAGGTGGAGGAATGTTAGGTCAACAAAGTCACTAAGAGTGCACATTATCTGTGCAGAGTGAAGGTACATCGTCTCATCCAGGTCTGGGTCAGATGCTGACTGCTGTTACAGGACGGGGGGGTTCAAGTGGAGGACCTGAACTCAGCACTTCAAGTGTCGGTCAGAGCCATCCATTGCAAAGAAACAGCCTTCCCTCATTTCCCTCTGTATTTATTTGTCTGTTTCTCTCTTCAGCTCTTTGACACAACCTTGTCATGTTGTCAGTCATAGCAAAGAGATGTCACTCCTGGAGACTGTTGCTTAGCACTACTGGAGCCCCTCTGAACTGTATCTGAGCTTATCTTTGTGTTTTTGTGTTTTGAATTTGGGGCTCGAGGTTAGGTTATAGCAGCCATGTAAGCGAATGCGCATGTGTGCTGTGTACTTTAAAGCTGTCTATCCTCAAAGCTCTTGTATTTGCACTTATTATTCTGTTGCTAGTGCTTGCTTATCTTGTATTTCGATCTGTTTTCATGTTTGTTTGTGTTGCTTATGCACAAATGTGTGTGAATCAGCAGAGCTTGTGTATGTGTGTGTTGTGATGTTTGGCTTGAAAAGCCTCCAGAGATCTATGCTAGGCTGAATCCTGTCACGTCTAAACAGCAGACTTTCCACAGGAGACGTGAATACAGTTGTGTTCTGTATTTTATTATTAGACAGGCTGTATGCATGGGAACCCGGCTGCCTTTGCGATATGACAAGAAACGACTTCATAACTGACTTTGAAAGTGTATTGTATTGGTTGTAAGAGCGCAGGTGCTCCCACTACTTAGGAATATGACAGTGCAAAGTAGAGATAAGCTGTATGATGATGATTTCAAGGAACTGTGGGACTTTGTGTCGACTAACGCACTCTTCAATCCCACAGGTGGTGGTACAGGCAGCCAGCAGACCGTTCTCCATGAGAAGCAGTAGAAGATGCCGGCTCTGCCAGCGCTGCTGCTGTCAATACGCTTCCTCTCCTTCCTGCTAGTGACAATGCCACCACTCTCCCTCACTCAGGCCCCTCTACTTTCCTCCGTACGCATGGGTGAGTGTACCCTAAACGGATCAAAAATTTCCTTAACAATCAGTCAACATTCATTTGTAACTCATGAATTAATCAGTTATTCAAGATGGCATTGGGCAGTATAACAAAGTGACAGGTTGGTATCCTTTAGTAAAAATAATGCACCTTTATGCTGTAAAAAGAACAAGAAAAAACATTTAACATGATAAAATAATTTCGCTTGAACAAAAAAACCTATAGCATTGTTTATCATTAGGTTTGACATATAGACTTTATATATGAAAAAATGTCTTTTTGAGGCAGCATTCTTTCATCAATCTGCTTGGAAGTTGAATGCTGAGGAAACATAACCCTGGTTTTAGCATCTTTAAGTGACTCTTCAAAAGATGAAAATATCTCAATATCTTTAGCTTGCCCTTACCAGGCTTGATCAAACCCTGTTATGTAACGATTATTGCAAGATGATTACTGTAGGTTAGTGAAGGTGTGTTATTAAAGCCATATTTTAGAGGATTTTTTTAATATTTTGGCTTTGTTCTGGTAAAAACATGTGCATATTTGCATGTTAAATTGTAAAGTGCCTTAAGATGACTTATATTGTGAATTGGCGCTATATAAATAAACTGAATTGAATTGAATATTTTAGATGGTCAAATCATAAAAAAATTTAAAGCTTTGATCTAAGTTTACAAGCAGACAAATTGTCTTTGTAAATGATAAAAAGCCAGATTTTACACTGTATTGCGATTTTGTTTCTAATCATCAGTGAAAGGATTTAGCTCATATTAACTCTCCGGAGTGCAGTGTTGTTTTACTTATAGATCCAATAGTGGAGAAAAAGACATCTGTTAATCATTGTGCTTTTAAAGTTGCATTATTGTGAAAAAAAAGTAATTTGTTTTCCTTGAAAAAATTGTAATAAGGGGCTAAAATCAGCACAGGCGGGTCAGTGCCTAACAAGCTCTGTGATCAGACAAAATCTTCGAATGAATTTCTACTTGTCAAAGCTTAAATGTCAAATGTCTCCTTTCTAAGATCCTCATCTTAGCATTCATGTGGCACCATCTGAATGTACTGGTTTTGTGTTTAAATACACATTCTGGTCTAATACTTTGCTGTAGAAATCTAACAGGGTCAGACTCATAACTTTGGTCTGAACACTGCACTAATTTGAGCTGCAGCACTCATATTAATGGCCAGTCATGCACAGTGGAAGTGGGCTAATTTGGCTCATGAATAGCTGCTCGGAGCAATCTAAAAGATTACATCATTAAATAGATAAATACCAGTTCTATGTTAATTTTCTGGCTTCATAATTCTCCTATAACAATTAGCGGCAGCACCTAAATGTTTTCCATTGAGAATGAGCCAATCAGCCAAGCAAAAGTGTTTAAAAGTCTTTGAGATGCCTTTTTTGCCTGATTGTTCAGCAGAATTTACACTACTGCTATTCATCATTATTTTGTTGAAAATTTGCAGCATAAGTATCACAATGATACAGATTTTATGGGAGTATAAGGTGCTGTTTTCACAAAACTGATACTTAAAAAAAGAATCACAACGCTTAAAGATGTGTTTGCTTCCAAAACAGCTTCAAAAGAAAATTTGTGCCTTTGATAAAACCAAACTAGTTCTAAAAATAACTTGTGTCATTATACAGGTCGGAGGGAGCAGGAGGACCAAAAGCGAGTCACAAAATTAAGTTGACGAGAAAGAAAAACAGAAAATGACAAAAGCCTGGCAATGAATAAATGAATCTAAGGAGCATTGTACTCTGACACGCTGCTGGTGTGTGCTGTAATCTCTGAACGGGGAGCCAAATGAAAATCATGACATTACGCACAGTCAACCCACACACCATGCTGCTGGTGAGAAGCTGGCTTCACTGTCTAATCCTGTGTGAATAGCAAATATTGCTCACACACTTTTTTTCCCCTGTCCCCGGGGCATGGCTGAATGATGGTGAGATGAACATAACGAGAAAGTGACCAGCGTCTGAATGGCTTAATGCAGATCGATGAAGCCATTAGAGTTACACATCTCATGACGGAAAAGGAGAGACCAGTGACCAAGAAAAAAGGAAACTGAGGTTTTGCTCTGATGGTATATGCAACTTATCATAGCTTTACTGTAGAAACACAAACATTATCAAACTGAGTAAAATGTTGTAGATGCACAAAAAAAGCAAAAACACTTAGGGCTTAAGAATCAGAATAAGAGATGCTAAATTGCAGGTGTATTTTTTTTTTTATATGTGCAATAAGTGGCCATGTTATGGATAATCTACATATTGCTGCTCAAACATTAATATGCGTAAACTGCTCTGGTTATTCCCACTAAAATGAGCAGATTTTGTGCTTTACAGGAAGTTGAGAGTGGAACTTAAATAAAAGATGAGGTTTTTGCCATATAGCTGGAGGTAATAATGTTTAAAAAATATATAATACTAAATAGTCTTTATAGAACACTTTAAATAGATGGTATATCCTTAAGTACTGTGAACAGCAGTAAAATAAAAGGTGATGAAAACAACAAAAGTTAAAAATAAATTTTTTTAAACTAAAACATGAGCAAGTTCTTTGTTTGCAAGCCTTAAAACAGCTGAAAACATAACCATCCTTTGTGCTTTGTTGAATTGAGGCAGGAAAAAAAATCTTGTCTAAGTGAACCTTCATCTCAGTTTTAAACTTTTGCATTCTCTAACCATGTTTTCTTCCAGTAATGGCCAATGGTTAGCTAATGCATCTTCCCTAGTAAAGATAAAGCTTCCCCATGAATCTACTAAACATTTTCAGCATTTGCTTGAAGAGTTATACATAACTAGTTTTCTATCAACTTAAGTATCTTTTACCAAAGCAGCTTAATCTTCATGTTTGTAGTGGCAAAGCATGATGTCTGGCAAAGTAGAACAGGAGTTCTTATTGCTTTTGTTCACAGAGGATGTAATTTTGAAAGTAGTTTGCCGCACTAGATGAAAAGACACCATCAAATGTTTTTTCTCTATTTTCTCCAAATGCAGCGGAATACCTGTTTCTAACATGACAAAATTTGGAATAATTCAATAAGTGTTAAACCTGTTACGAGGCTCTGTATAAAGTTGACTTTTTTTTGTTTTCATGTCTTAAAAGGAGTTCAGATCCTTTTATTATTTCTGTAACTAATGGTGGGGATCTATTAAACAGCAAATTTTAACAAGTTTATAAACATGGATGATCTTGTTATCCAATAAAAAAATATATTCTTGCTCTTGTTCTCCTGGTGTGTTTCTGTTCTGACATTCTCTTTATCATTATTCTCCACATTTCTTCCTCTGTCTCTCCTTCTGTTTAATTCTGTAGCTGCCATTCTGGATGACCAGTCAGTGTGTGGGCGTGGGGAGCGGCTGGCGCTGGCCTTGGCCAGGGAAAACATCAACAGTGTGATAGAGGGTCCGGTGCGAGCCCGAGTGGAAGTGGACATATATGAGCTGCAAAAAGACTCCCAGTATGACACTACTGACACTAGTGAGTGGATGCAGGTTACTTCAAAGATTACTGCTAGATCACATTTACTCCTCAGACTCATAAATGAATGATAAAACCCATTGAAAAACATCAGGATATATAGTAATTGGTACAAATAGAAATGACCAGTGTGGATGCGGGTGTGTTATGTAAGTAATGTTTATTTTTATTAACACTAGTACGGTAACTTTTAGACAAAAGAAAAGTATTTTAAATGGTTCCATTTCCTTCCAAGGCATTAAACTCTTTAAACAATGATTACAATTTTTTCTGAAAAGCAACCATTTAATGTGCACAAACCGCAAATAATGAACAGGGTGATAAAAACAGACACTTTTGTGGTATTTGGAACCAGAAGGGGCTTCTGCTTATTAGTTTACATGTCACTGGAGACCAGTAATGGGCCACTAAGGCTGCCTCATTAAAAACAGGAGACCTGTGCCCTCCAGCAACAGCTGGAACTGTGTATGGTGCAAGCCATGATGATAAACACACCATCAAACACTAAAACAGATACGCAGTAGCATAAAACAAGACTGTAGCACCTCATCAAATCTCACAGAGCAGAATCCATAGTCTACAGCAAAGACTGTAAAATAAAGCTTAACTGAACCATGAGCAAGCACAGCCTCGTTGCTCCGTTTCTGATAGGTCACTGACCTTGCTTTAAGCTGCTGGTGCAATGTTTAGAAGGTCTGAGCTCTTGTATGCCCTGCTTAAGATACAGGCATGTGCATCTCTCTGTGTCCTTGACCGATGAGCAGGAAGAGGCTGAAAGACTGGTTTGCTTAGAGCATTTTGTAGTCTCTAGATCAGGGAGCTCATCATTGTACAGCTCCAGATGACTGTGGCATGCAAAAAAATACTTAACTACTTAGGCATTTATATATGCATATACACACAACCTTTCTGCAGATACAAGCATGCACATCCTCAAATGAGCACAAAGGGAGCCTGTGCACTCACAGACACTTAGTAGATACTCACATGTACACATGGACCCTTAGTTGCTGATACTGAGGACTAATTGGGATGAGCTGAAATAACAACTAGAGAAAAAAGGAGCTTCTTGGATAGCCGAATCAGACAGCTAAGAGATCAGACTCCCTTGGTGCCTTGCCTGTGGATAATTATCTGGTGAATATCTTATCAGTAAAAATAGACATATTGAAAGACGACCTTATTTAAAACACTTGATGAAAATATTTTAGATAATCAAAATCCCCTAGTTCATTCAAAATAACTCTCACAATGATCAATATTGTATCACACACTGTACATAGTGCCTTTCAAAGTATCACTAACTAAAAGCAGATTATGCATCAGAAACCTCCAGTCAAGGTCCATACCTTAATCCAAAGATATCTCTGATATCTCCTTGTTTTAGTCACATAAAGGCACATGTGTAGAAAGAAAGAGGTGACACACTTGCAAAACAAACAAAAAAAAAATAATAAAAAAAAGGCTCTCCTTTTAACATGGCTAAAATCTTAAACTTTTGCACAAAAAAACTTAGAAAAAAAACTGTCAATCTCTACATATGAAAAGCTGATTGAAACACACTGAAGTGTTTTCACAATTAAGTAAATTCTAATAAAACAAAATATATGTAAATGTAACAACAATAATATAATGAAAAGTTATGTCATAACAAAACTATACCAGGTCATGATATAAATAGTTCTAAACTGTAATGTAGTGGTCAGGTGACTATTGGGATTGGATTTAAAGAGGTTTCACCTACTATAACTGTCAGTCAAACTGATTTTGTTCCTTTATTTCAGAAGCTGTGGTTCTCCCTGCACGTCTAGCCTTTACTCTCCGACGTCATGAGGTTCATCCAACTTTTTGCTGTCTTTCCCGTCTTGTCTCTGCCCCTTAATTAAAACCTTCATTCTCCTGGTCCACCTCTTTTGTCAGGGTGTTACTAGGGTGTTACTAGGTTAACCTGCATGCCTCAATCCACCCACTGTAGGTTCCTGCTGCTGCACAGGTTGTAAGGGCTGTAAATGAGCTGGGATCGAAACACTACATTACTTCACCTGCATCTAAGATCATTTGCAGCCTCAATGTTTACAAAAAAACAGTTTCTCTGTTACATAAGTAAAACCTTTTGTGTGTTTAACTTTAGTTAAATCAAATCTTGGCTCAGGTTATCTGGTCCAGTATGATTGCGTCGTCTTACTTAAATGCTGTTAAATTATATAAGCTACAGGTAAGAAATTACGCAATCAAAAGAAGAATTTCATTCACTAAAATTATCCTCAGTAAATCCTAGTCTTTGCAGCTCAGATGAACCTCCTCTTTAGGTCAGTGACCACTGAAGTGGAGACAAAAGGAGTTTTAATGATTTTCTGTATTGAAGCCATTTGAAACAGTAAAGACATCCCCTAAATATAAATCACTGTCAAAATTTGGTTAAGAAAAAAACGTACACTGCTGCTGTTCAGTGCTCTTTTGAGATGGTTTGGATTAATATTTACTAAATATCAGTTTCTTATACACCTTTCTACAGTTTCAGAAAGTCAACATATAACATTAATATAAAACCTTCAGTTTAACCCATTAAAATTTTTTGACTATTTATATAGTGCAGATGATGTAAAAAACAATCTCAGCTTTCTGTTTGTAAAATGAGGGACCATTTATTTTCTAAGTCACAATGTGTCTCAACTGGATGTTGGGAATAGACCCTGTTGATTTAAAATCTATTACAATCAGTTTTGCTTATGTTTTACACTATAACCATGAAACCTTCTGGGATTACTACTTTATGAGTGTAATATTACTGTCATGTAGCTCCCTCTCATTACTGGAACCAGTCCCTATGCTTAATCTACGGAGGTCAGAAAACTAGGAATAATTATGAATTTTAAATCTGTTTAAAGACAACAATAAGTATGCCTACATATGCAAATGAAAGTGTATTTATTTACAGGGTATGGTGACCGTATACTGGTTGTTGTGCAGATTTTTAGTTCTATCTTCGGTCTGAATCAGCAACCTTGATAAAGAGGTTGAAGAACAGCAACTGTCTCTATGTCAGCTGAATAAATAGCACATCCACTCCTAAGTGAAAAGGCAAATAGAAAACAGCCCAAGGGACATTGAGGGTTCATGGTAATTAAGTTCCTGGCAGTAAAGGTTCAGGGCAGGATATTGGTTGGCTAGATTATTATGCACCTTCTACCTGATTGTATATCTATTTAAATTAGTGCATGACTAGACTGGGTACAACTTAAAATGAAACAAAAACTATTGATGAAGAAGGATTTAATTTTTTCTCCTTTCCTGCTCTTACTGGGTACCTTACAGCAATACCTAAATTAAAGGAGTTGTAGATTTATCTTTAACTAGATTGGCTGTTGTCCAGCAGCACTTTTATTATCTTTAATCTTACAGCAATATTCTTATTTTAATGAAAATCAGTAATAGCAGTAAAATGTATAATCATTGGAGCAATGAATTTAATTGTCTCATGAATGCCCAACAACTGATTGGTTATCCTCTTCTTGTCCTTGGAATGTTTCTAATAAAATAAATCAGATCAGACTGAAGCAGATTTTGCTGCTTCAGAGGAATGAATGATTCATTTCAAACTGACGTGTTCGCACTTTTCACCAAACGGCTTCTGCTTGATGGTAGCTCTGCACATGCATTCTAAAACACAGAGCCAAGATATGTTCTTCTAGATCAAAAGTTTATCCCTTCCCCCGTTTCAGTGTGCCAGATTCTACCCAAAGGCGTCGTCTCTGTGATCGGTCCAGCCTCCAGCCCCGCTTCCGGCTCTACTGTCAGTCACATATGTGGAGAGAAAGAGGTGAGTTACATGTGCAAAATATGTACCAACCTCTGTCTTTTTAGTCATGTTAAAGTCTTCAGTTTTTTTTCTGCTCAGAAGTACAGTACTACTATGGCTACATCATTATGTTCAGTTTTGCCTTTGTTATTAGGTTTTCTTTCAACAGTTATCATCTGTTTCCTTAAACTGTTTTTTTTTCTTCAACCATTTTTTTCTTCTGTATATATACGTTTTTCCTGACCCTGCATTTTTTTTGCAGAGTAAATCATAAATCACTGTTTTCCCCTGGCCTTTCTCATGCCTTATCATCCCCTGTCCACATTATCCCTCTTCCAGATCCCTCATGTTAAAATTGGTCCAGAGGAAACTCCCCGCCTTCCATACCTGCGCTTTGCCTCAGTTACTCTGTACCCCAGCAATGAGGACCTGAGTCTGGCCATAGGTTCCATCTTACGTTCGTTCAGCTATCCCTCTGCAAGCTTGGTCTGTGCAAAGGCTGAATGTGAGTTATACACAGTCTCTTTTACCATTAAATCATATTATATGGCTATTACTGCACAACTGGGTTTGTATTTAGGTGGATGGATGTAAGTGCATCATTTTAGTCCTTCCAAATATGTTTACCCTGTTTACCTTTGTGTGAAGAAAGTGACTCCAGTAAGAGAATTGGTAGATTCCCAGTTTGGTCAGGTATTATTGCCTGCAGCTGGACACTAATTTCCAGAGCTTGAAGGAGTGTTATAATAATATATTTGAGGGAAAGAAGAGTTACTATGCTGTAATTTCATCTGATATGTGCTCCAGAGGTAGGGGGTGTGTGTTTGTGTGTGTGTATGTATGTATGTATATACACTACATACAAAATATGAACTGAGGAGCCCCCAATCATCAATTCTGTCCCTATACAGTGATCAAATATGTTAAATGCTGTGCCTAATTTTGATTTGGTGGACTGAGAGAAACAGCTTTGTGATGACCACTCCATAAAACTGACTTTGTTGTCATTGAACCTCTTTGTTTTTAGATATCCTTAGTTGTTTTGTCCACTTGGAATACCCATTAGTGCCTAAGCTTTGAATGCATGGCCAATGTCTTGGAGATGTTGCAGTAATAGTTGCCCTTAATGTTCTTTCTTTATGATACAATGTCTTTTGAGAAGTGTTTCGTTTCCCTCTACTGCAAAACACCCACACAGCGCATTATAGTTTCAGCAGACATCAGAAAATGTCTGACTGCAATAGTAAACTGTAATCTGCCTTTTGACTTGGCTTTTTCAGTGATGCTTTACAGTCCATGTAGGTCTCACTGTGGAGTGAAACCTACATGCAGCAATATTTTACTGATCCAAGGTATAAAACCAGACTTCTGGACAGTGTTCAGAAAATCATACATGATTTCTTTACATTTATGTCACACAGAAGCGTTGTGTTTGTATTGTTGCCTTAAAAACACAGTGGTGTCTCCAGTTAATTTGAATGTTGTGATTTAGACTGGCTTGAGCTGACATTACATTATCATCTGACTTCACACAAATAGATGAAACACAAACTACTCCTATTATTAATGATAATGAAAGTTTGAATAAAGCAGAAAAAAGTTTCTAAAAATGTAATTACTCTCATTATTCTGGTATTTAGCAAACAGAAGAAAAATATTGTCCTACCCTCTGAACATGATTTATTTTTTGTTTCTCAATAACAAATGTCAGATAAAATGTCAATTACTGTAATATTTATTTATTTTGTCCATACTTATTAATTATCAAAATTCCCAACAACAACAACAACAACAACAACAAAGTTTTTTAACTATATAGATGTTAATGAATAGTATTATATACTTGACACTTCTTCTGCTTATTTTGGTGCTCATCTGTTATCAGAGTTCAGAAGGCAGCTTATTGTGCAGACTTTCTATTTATTACTCATGCTGAACTGCAGAGAGTTTTAAGGCCAAACCAGTTTGATAAATATTCATGCTTGAAATGCTTCCCAGTAATGGAGGAACTTAGTGGACATTTGATTTGACTGGCCAGACACTCAGAGAGCTTAAACATCACAGGGGATTCAGTGCTTGGTCACTGGCTGTTTTTATTTTCATTTTGAAAGAGTGCATTATTGATTTATGTTGCAGTCCCCTGCTGAGAGTCACGGGAATAAAAGGGCTTAGTTGGATGGAGGCTTTAGTATACAAACAGCTCTGTGGATACGTGACACAATAAACCACAAGGTCTTGGAAGTAGCAAAAATCTAATCCATCCACTATTTGACATTTTCTTTCAGCTTTCCAGTAAAAATTAGTTGGGGTTTAGTTGTTTTGTTGCTGTCAACTCTTCACACCAGTGAAGAAGTTAAATAAAAGTGAGAAGCACTTTTAAAAGGATAAGGTGGCCAAGGAACGCTGATAAGACTTTGGGCAACAAAAAGCTGTGGCATTAAGAAAAATTGATTCAGCCGTTGAGAAGCTTTCATTATCTCCTCGGCAGTTAGAGGCCCTCCTGCAGCTTCCAGAAAGTAACTGAATACCTTCTGGTCTTGTCATTTCATTGAACTAAGGAAGCTTTGAAACAGCATCAGACGTCCCTTTCAGTTTTGATCATCAGCTGAGTGGCCAGATAAGAGCTCTGTTTTTCATCAGCCTCTTCCTTTCCGGAAAAATTACAGACAAACGATCGCTGGGGTAGTTACCATCTAGGCGAACAAAGATGGATCTCTGTGAGAAAAAAGAAAAAGTGGTTAAGAAACCGAGGAGTGTGCATGTGTCGTGTATTCTGCCTCGAAGGTGATCTTTACAAGGTTATCGCACTCACAGACTCTGACCCACTTGGCTGCGCTATCTATCGTGGTGGAGCCGGTTGCCATGGCTGCCGAATAGGTGCTAACTGCCACTCAACAGGCTTGTTCCACAATCTGAACAACCATGTGGGTGTATGCGTTAAGCTATATGTGTGTTTTTATGTATGTTTTCCCAGTGCTTGCTTTGCTTTATCTGAACCTGTCCATGCTGAGTTTAGATTTGCTTGTTTGTCCATGAGGGATTAAACATTGGTGCACTTGAATTGGATTGGGAATATGTGTGCAGTGGTACCTAGGTTCTACACTGGTTTGACATCAGACAGTGTTTACCAGTTCCCCCCACTCCCCCTCCTTGTTTAATTCATCGTGTTTACACCGGTATAGAGAAGGGTTTTCAAAGTTAAGCAGACAGGCTTGCTCTGATTTGGTGGAGGTGAGACAAATGGAAATACACACTTTGCACACGAAAAAGGGATAATTTAAGAAAGCTAGTCTTCATCTTTTAGTGTGTGTGCTACTGCATCTTAATGGTATCCATCTAATGGCTCCTCCCTGAGCGAGATATTTTGCTTAATGTGTGAGAATCGCAGATTTTAGGTCATTTTCAATGTATCCTTCTCTCACTATGTATGAGTCAGAAAGTGCTATCTGAGCCTAATTCCATTATGCAGTTTTCATGAGATGGATGAGGGTTAAGGATGGCGACAGAGCACATGGAGGAGAAGGTGGCAGCATAAGAGCCAGATGAATCAAGGCCGAGAGAGCTAACTGGAGCAAAGGGCTCAGACGAGAGAGATGGAGAGGTTAGGGCTTATGTGTGTGAGATGGAAATTGGTGAAATAGGAAGAGCGGGAGAAGAGCGAGAAGCTGCTGTAAAGTGCATTGATTTTTTTTTCTTCTTCCCCCTCCTTCCTAGAACTAATTAAAGTTTTGGCCTGGTTCAGTGATTACCCCACTGCTTACAGACGCCTTCTCAACCTACGGGGCTCAGAGTAGTACCTTTCCTCTCATCCTTTCATTCCATTCTCTCTCCCTCTCTCTCTCTCTCTATCCCCACCCATCCTTCTTTTTTCCCCCAGATGCCTCGTTCACCACTTATTTACATAGCTGGAGGTGCTTTACTATGAAATTACAATCAGGAAGCACCAAAGCAGACTTTGTAGTAATAGCTTACATGATGTCAAGTGAGACTTGACTGCTATTGGTTCTACTTAGTTTCAAGAGGAATTTGCTTGAAGTGGCAAAATTGTCTGAGGAAGTTTGTCAGTCACTGTCCTTCTATCTCTCCAACTTTATTTAGCAAAGTCTTTAAATTAACTTAACAGGTTACAGATACATTTACTGTTACAGCCAGAATTGGCAGGGTAAGAGTCTGATGTTTCTTTATGCTTTTTACATAAACAGAATAGGACAAATATGTTCTTAATATAGGTTCAAAATTGGCAAATGATTAGATGAATGCTTCAATGAAAGTTGCACCTGTACTACATATTTACAGCTAACAATGAGCTTCTGGACAATTTCTGGGTTGAGATTTTGCTGCTTAAAAAATAAGCTCTAGAGCTGAGAAGGTTGCTAGGCAAGATCAAACCTTTCGTCATAGTCTAAAGATTTTAAATAAGGCTGTGAGCAGGGGCAATAAACCTGTAGATTATAAAAGCTGTTTTGATGTATATTCAGATTCTTGGTAACACCCAATTTTGATTGTTAGACCTTTCTAGCAGATTTTTTGAAGGTGACCTTGAAGAATATACATTAGAAGAGGTTCCCAATGTTATATTCCACCATATGTACTGCAATGCAGTGGAAAATAACCCTTAGGATGATGGTTTCCAGAAACATGACAGGTTGGACAGTTGCACACCCACTGTGTAACAGACTTTATGTGATTGCTGAACAGGCCTTACTTACAAATCGAATAAAGGCTATCCTTTACGCTGATTTAGACCTTTAAATTTAGTATATGTGTAGATCAAGCAAAACATCCCACTCTGCAAATAATCTAGGCTTGTAATTTTGTATAAATTATTTTTTATAAATTGTTCAAAAAAATGATGTAAACATACTAGAAAGATTCAATCAAAAATCTTATTTCATTATAGTGTGTACTGTGATCATGCATCCCCCTTCTTATTAAAATCTTAAAATTCATTCCTCTTCTTAAATGATCTTCCCCCCATTCCATACCATGTGACATTTTAATACTGAATGTGTAAAATTACTTCTATATATTTACAGTAGTGGCAATAATACTGCCATTTCCACATTTGGCTGGCCTATGGGCTTACGGGTAGCCTGAGCAAAATAAATAAAATCTAAGAAGTGGCCTACCATGACTATGACGCTGATCCCAGAGGGAAATTTGTCCTCTGAATTTGTCCCTAACTGTTTAGGGATAGTGATAGCCATGCCATTTCAGGGACTGACTGCGGTTCTACTGTAAGGTGCCTTTATCAAGGTCCATGACCGACGTACCTGACATGTAACAACCATACCGTGCATATTGCTGCCATAACTAATAACTTTTTTCAGTCAGTTGAACAGAAATAATCTTATATTTTAATCCTGATTATACTATCATACAACACTGGCACTCTGCACATTAGATAAAATACCAGTTCCTCTCATAAAACATTTTTGAGGTTGATAAGAGATGGAAGAAATTGAGATTTCTACAAAAAGGTCTCTATTGTTATTTTTCACTTATTTTATTATAATTCACTTCTGGTAAACATACAGAGTTCTTGACATACACTATGTTGTCAGAAATATTTACTTACCCATCTAAATTATTGGCATCAGGTTACTTCCATGGTCACAGGTGTATAAAATCAAGCTCCTTGGCATGTAGACTGTTTTAAAAATAGAATGGGTCACTCTCAGGAGCTCAGTGAATTCCAGAATTCCATGGATATGAAAACAAAGCAAGTCCATAAAGACATGGATGGTAGAGCCTGGTGTAGATGAACTTGACTGGTCTGAACTTGAGTCCTCAACTTGCTGTAACATTATAGAGCACCTTTGGGATGAATTACAGTGCAGCAGAGACAGGCCTTCTCCCTTCTGAAGGAATGGTTAAAAATTCCCATACACGCTCCTAAACTTTGAGGACAGTCTTCCTAGAAGAGTTTGGCAATATAATGCACATAGAACAAAGGCATCCTGAATTTTCTTTTGCAGCTCATCTTGAAGAGATACTCAGTAGGTAAGACAGGTCATAAGTTTGAGCCCAGCTTACTATTTTGTTTTTTTTAAAGACAGTTTCAGCTAACAGGGGTCTGCACAAAGACAACATTGTTGGAACTTGTTTTCAACAACCAAATCATATAAATTTACTTTGAATAGTAGATGATTAGAATATGAAATATATCATCTGGATTGGTTGATCCAAGAATAAAACTATAATGTCCAAATAGCTCTGGGTATTTAGGAATGTTTTGCAAAGATACATTTTACCTGCTTTATGTGTGCATGATGTGAAATGAATCCTTAGCAGTCATTTTGATGGTTTTTGTAAGTTTTTTGATGTGAATTTGCAACAACTAAACCCTTTCAATTGTTGTTGGGTTTCTTTTCCAAAGGTATGTGTCTGAAATTCTATAAATTAATAATTTTTACTCCTTAATTTCTCAGTGACTAAATTACTATGTATTTCCCTGACGTAACCAACACCGTAGCATTGTTTCCTTCTTTCTCTGAAGTTATTGGATTTTCTAGGTAGGCATTTTATGACAGGCTAATCAGTGCTGTTCTGCCAAAGCACCTTCACCATGCAGTAAAGTCATACATTTAAATTTTGTCAACTATGTATACTTCAGAACAGCAGCAAAGATAATGGCTGTATGAAACAAATATGAACTGATGATGAAGGTATAATTAACTAGAGGATCAGGTGAACTTCTAACCAAGGTAATCTAAACCAGAAAGGATGATTTAGACAAGCAACCTTTTAATTCAAGAACATGCTACCTAAAGAGAAAAATGTAAACATTGTATGGTTAAAGGTTATTAAAATCTCTGTATGGCCCGTATCTATAGCAACATTTGCCCATATGTTGTCTGGCCGTGTGAGACAGTGAATATGATTAGGTGTAAATATATGTTGAGCTGTGAGAGTCATCTGGAGTTGAATATTTCGCTGTAAAATAATTCTCTTTTGAGGAATTACTGGTAAAATAAAAACTGCTTAATTTAGGACAAAATCTAATCACTTGTTTTCTGGCAGATGGCCTTATTTGTGCTCGTTTATGCAATATGCTTTACATAAAGTAGGTTGTTAAACCTCCTTCTGTCTTGAAAGAACAAAAAGAACAATAGCTTATTTAACATAATAGTGATGGAAAATTAAGTCCCAGGGAGAGATGTGCATATTACAAATGTGCTGTAGTGGCCATATTACATAGTGCTTTGCTTTCCTGGAATTTTGGGAGAAACATTTTTCATGCATTGTAGGAAGTTCCTATCCCCCTTTACTTTGTACATTTTGTCACATTACAAAAAAACCTTGAGTACATTAAAGATTTGAGTGATAGCTCAATAAAAGGTGTAAATGTGAAGGGAAAGGCACACTGAAAGATAAACCTATGACCCAGTCTTTTGCGGTGTATAATGAGATTTCTTTTAAGGACTGCTGTGTGTTTAACTCTATTCCTCTTCCAATAAAGTAGTAACTTGCTTCATAAAGAAAAAAAAAGAGAAAGAATATATATATATATATATATATATATATATATATATATATATATATATATATATATATATATATATATATATATATATATTAGAATGAACCAAATGCAGAGACTGAAGCTGAGGTGGTTTCTTGCACATTTAATAACAAGACATATAAAATACAAAATTAAAAGTCCAGAACTCATTGACAAGGAAAACTCAAGAACTAAAAAAGCTAGGAGACAAGGGGGAGGAATAAACCAAAAGAATGACGAGGACCGAGGCAAGAGCAACTTGAGCAAAGCGTTGTATGTATGGTAGACAGATACAAAGGCTAATAGGGGGCAGGTGTAGACAGAAATAACTAGAAGGAGCTAAGGGGAAAGGAGACTAGCACAAGGGGCGGGGGAAAGAGAGTAACTTGAAAAATAAAACACTGCTTAAATATAACACAGAATGGAAAAGAAAACAATGATCAATAAAATACAGAATAAAACTTAAAAAGAAACTTAAACAGAAGTCCACAAAGGGCACAATCATTACAATATATATATATATATATATATATATATATATATATATATATATATA